TACAAAAACAGAGTCAAAATCTTCCTTGTTTGACATTTCATTTCTGTAAAGGTCCTACCCTTCACAGAAATCTCTAGTATTTAAATATAACATTTGGATATGAGAACTTCCGTATATGGCATTGTTACATTTATGCTAATCATGATGACCTGGACTCATTGTAAGTTTCTTAAATTCATATCTTATTGTCCTTTTAAGCTTCTACTTTCTTCACCAAGGAGTACCATACTACAAATACTGGTTTATAAATGAACATGTACTCATCTTACTCTGGGGTCTGCTTTCTTTCCCTATACCCACAGGCAGAGTGGCTACTAAAGGCAGTGATCCCTTTTTATATTGCTCATGTTGAAAAACAGAATAAACACTCCAAATAAACTTTTGAGCTCACTGAGGCCATACACTACAGCAATTCATCTTAGTAACAGTAAAAGATGGCATAGTACTTGAAACATGGTAGGTGCTGAATAAATATACTGAATTACATTGAAGCTTTTTCATTATTGCATAAAAGATGAAATAACTCAGATGATTCTGAAAACTCAAGTTATTTCAAGTTTTGTTTAATTACAAGGGCAGAATTCTGTCTTCTTCCAAGATACATCCAATTATAAATGATTAAATAAATATAACTAAAACCCTAATCACAAAAGACACTTATAATAACAACTTTTCTTACCAGATCGACTTGATTTTGTTACTAATTATTAGTGTTTCAAGCAGCTTCTACTAAGTTCAAATCTACTTTGTTATCTGAATTCAAATGACTGAAGTCCAGAAATATATAAAGAAATGCAACTTCGAAATAACTTCAAACAAATATCCCATATTATTGACAGTTTATGCAAAGATAAAGGACAGAATATTTTCAAATTGCATTTTCATTGCAATGAAAAACAACAAAAAAAAGAAACAAATATCATATGATGACTGACATAGTAATCCAGTCATAGTCACTTTGTAACTTTTAATTTCCATTCCAAGTTAATAAAAAGTTAGCATAGATTCCTGTCAAAATATATAATGGTCTAGAAGCATAGCATTAACTGTAAAGTAATTAAAATTTTTTAAAAATATTTTTTTAGTGGTAGATGGACACATACTTTTATTTTGTTTATTTTTCTGTGGTGCCAGGGATCAAACCTAGTGCCTCACACATGCTAAGCAAGTACTCTACCACTGAACCACAACCCCAGCCCCAAGTAATTTAAAATTCTAAATATAATAGTTTAGAGCATTTCTCTCTAATATATATATATATATATATGTATATATATATACATATATATATATATATATATATATGTATATATATACACACACACACACAAAATAACTTCCAGAGTGTATGTATATGTATGTATGTATGTATATATATGTATGGAATTTCAGATTCAATGTGAAAAGTGATCAATTAAAAGTAACAAATTTACAAGTCATGAGTATAGAAACCAACAAGCTTTGTAATTTAAATTTTTCAGTGTTTCCTTTCTTCAAATTAAATAAAAGACATATTCAGTCACATATGCAGTACTCTCCAAAAAAAAAAAAAAAAAAAGATAAATGCAGGACAACTGCAGGGTGTCATAGGTTCAACATGCTCTATAAATATTTTCTCTCAAAATAACTCTTATTCATATTACATAAATGGTCAATGATTTGAGTCTGTTATAGTATGTACACTTCCTTGTTTGAACCTAAGATGATGATGTCCACACAAAAGTGGTTGACAAGCACAATGCATCATTTATCATGCATAAATTTCCGTTTCATGCTGAGATTTTTAGCGGAATAGACCCTGAGAGCCAATAAAAACTTCCAAAATATAAAATGAAAATTTTATCTTCAGAACTCTCAGATTACTTCATCTACTTTGCTATGCATAACCTATGAGTTTATATTCCTTTATGAACTACCTATTTGTTCCCCTTAAAAGAGCCTCAATTAAATGAAGACTCATTTATTTGGTTACATCTTTGTGATTCTATCCAAGAACCAGAGGGACCTTAAAAGTTTCTCTGTATCTACTTGGTCTCCAAATGTGCATAGAATAGTGATGCCAAGCAGAACCATGGCCACATGTAGTTGCTTGTCATTTATCCTGTCCAAAATAGTGAGTGGACTGGCAAATCATAACAAAAGATGCAGATGCAGAATTTTGACCCTCTTTCTCTCAATTTCAGCTTGGAGAAGACAAGTTACTACGCTGCTGTAAGTTTCCCATATATGCCCCACTTTTAAAACTCAACAATTATATATATATATATATATATATATATAAAATTGTGATAAAAAGAAACGTGCCCAATTTGTTCATTTTTTAAAATGGTATAATGTTGTGAATGAAAGTACAACTGCCTAACATGTCAAGTAAAAGGATAACAAAAGAAATGAATGACATCTTTCGACTTGCATTTGGATGTATAACCCCTCCATCTGTCAAGCAGTTGTGAAGCAATCACCCTGGAGAAGCAATGCAACCGGGAACAAGTTTTATGCCCGCATCTTTGTCAACCGCTCTCAGGACCTTAGCAGTAATTGTTCTGTTTGAAGAGCCTATAGGAATGAATTCGCCATTTGCAAAACAGACCCTGGCAACGGATGGGCCATTTCAACAGACCTAAATCTTAACGTGGGGCTCAGTTCACGGAGGTAATAGGAGAAGGAAGGAGTGATTCTTTTCTCAAATTTGGATTGGAAATTAAGGGAGAATGATCTCTAGAGGCCAACTATACAAAACAACCCTCAATTTCCTTCCCCTTAGCTTCAAAAACAGAATTACAATTTGGGGTATAGACTATGAACGCCCCACCCCTTCTCTTTCCGCCCGCTGCCACCACCACCTTCAAAGTTAAAGTCAGCGCTCGCGCAACTGGGGCTGCGGACTCCCTCACCAAGAATTCCACCAGGAGCCCATTCAGTGGGGGAACAGCGCTCTGGGATTCTGCCACCAGCTCTGCGACGCCACCAGCAGCCAGGCCATCTCTTAGGAGACCTCACCCCTCCCAGCCCCGCCCTCGGCCCCGCCCGGAGCCAGCACCAGAGTTAATCTCAACCCCAACGTCCCCACTCCTTTCAATCCAGATCACTAGCCAGGAGGTGGGGGTGTTAGAAGGGGGCAGAAGTGGGGTGGGGGAGGGGAAAAATCAAAACAGTCCCAGTTCCTGGTAGTCAGGACGCAAGTGGCAAGACCCCAGCACGCGCGCGACACGCGCGCGCGCGCGCGCACACACACACACACACACACACACACACTCACTCACTTGCTCGCGCGCCCCATTCCCCAGGTTCAATGCCTAGTGGCGACAGGATGAAAGAAAGGAGGTAAGGAAGGACAGATGGGATGGCGAGAAGGCCCGGAGTTACTGTGTGAGTGACATTTGCAGACAGCAAGCCATTCTTAAGGAATTATGAAAGTGAGAACGTCCCAGATCCCTTCATATCCCCAAAGCTGGATTCTCCTGATAGTGGCCCCGGTCGCTTTCTTTTTAGAGGGGCTCTGGAAGGCGAGGAGGAGAGCCAAAGCCAAGTTTTCCCCACACTGCCCTCCCGGGCTTGGCCCAGGGCCCAGAGCCCGGCCCCCCTTCAGCCCCGGCTTAGGGAGGCTGCCAGACGGGGAACAGACTTGCCAAGGGACTCTGGAAGAGCACGACAGCAGAAGAGGGGGCATCTTGCACGCTCTGGCCGGGTTGCTCATGCCTTCCTCTGCTGACACACCCCCAGTTAACCCCTTCCTCCGACTCCACACACACTCACATACAGAGATACGCGCTTGCGTTTATCCTCCCACCATTCCAGGTCCATCGAATAAAACACTAGTTGATTTTCTTCCTGATTAAAAAAAAAAAAAAAAAAAAGTGCAACAACAACTCTTCTTGAGAGTCGCCGAAGCAAAGAAAGTCCGTCTGCAGGCAGATTTCTGTAGTTACCTAGGAGTTTGGAAATCTGGAGGTCCCAAGCAAAAATGGGACCCAGAACCCCGAGGGGATCTAGGCGGCGAACTCGCTCCCCACCCCGATCCTCTCACCTCCTTAAGTTCTTTGGCCACGTCCTTCAGGTCGCCCAGGACTAATTCCAGATCCTCCACGATGATCTTGATTTGTTCCTTCACCTTGGTTTTGGAGGCTGCCGGCTGTCCCTCTGCTGGAGAGGACGAGGAGGGGTTCCCCTTGGACTTGGCTGACATTCTTTGGGGGCAAGCGACGCAGGTCAGGACAGGCGGGCGAGCAAAGGCTGCTGCGCGCCCCCGTCTCTGGAGCTGCTACAGACGCTTCCACCCCAGTCCCCCCACATCTTGGGCGCTCCCTGGGCAGCGGCGGATGGCTGCGCTCCGCGATCGGCCAGGCGTCCGCACTGTGGTGCTGCCATCAACTCCCGAGACGCGGCGCTCGGCGCGGGGCTCGGCGCGGGGCTGCAGACTGGCGAGCAGCGCGCCTGCGCCTCCTCCCGCCGCCGCCGGCAGCTCTCGCGCACACACGCGCTAACTCCCCACGGGTGGAGAGGGGCTCTGGGCTGTGCCAAGGTCTGTCAGCGGCAGTCCCCGCCGCACTTCTGCTTCCTTCTGGGGTCTCTCCCCGACCCCCTTGGCATCAAGGTGCCGGGAGACATCGCGTTCTACCTGCCCCCTCGTCTGGATCCTGAAATGCCCCCATCATCGCAGCCTGCTATGAATCTTCTCACATGTAGGCAGTATTCTTTCTGCTTCACCCGCCAGGACAGACCTGTATCAATTTAGAAAGAACCACAATAAGATTAGAAGTTGGAGTTCGGGTCAGTAAAGAGATCCTAAATAATTATTCAGAACCAAATAATGCCCAGAGAACTCCGATCATTTACCGAGTAACCTGCAAGTTAAAACATACTTCTGCAGGAGAGAAGTGCGGGAGGCATAAAGCGACCCCTCCTCACTCCCTGGAATCATGACATTATATTTAACAAGTATTCGTCAAAGAGGTAGCCAAACGCGGCCGATTCCACAGAACTAATAGAGGATTTATGAATTTTAAGTCCCATACACAAAATAAAATCCCCCTGAGACTGTCTGAGTCATCTTGGTTGTACTTCTTAACTTCTTATAGGTGCCAGCATTTTGTGGGTGGGGGAGGGAAGGGGGATCTGTCTCTTTTTATTACCTATGTGATGTATGCTTTGGGAGTGGGGTCCTATTTGGATTTCTTGTGGGAGCTAAATTTAAGAATTTGCCTCCAACTTCTCCTCTATCAATGTTTTTACCTCTATTTCAAATCTTGTGGTACTAAACAAATAGGAAATAGCTTTCTGACTTGTTCTGTCAAAATGACCCAGGGAGGCTAGTTAATAGGAAGCTTTCAGTTTATTCTCAGTAGGTGGCCACCATTCTCACTAGCTAGAGTTTTAATTTCCTTAGTAGCAAACTCATGGGCTATTAGCTACTGACCTGGCAGGCTGGTTCTACTTTATTTTCTTGAGTGCACACTCCTCCAGATCATTCTTTCAGGCTTCTCATTTTGGTCAGTCTTAAGCAGGATTCTGTCTCTTGCTTTTGACAAGCCAAGTAGCCTGAACATGCTCCTGATTATGAAAAAAAAAAAAAAAAAAAAAGAAAAAGTCTTGTCAGCTCTCTTCTTCTCAGTTACTGAGCCTCCTAATAATCAATCACACTATTCAATATGAACTCATCTTGACAAAGTTTTTGAAATTTTATTTAGAATATGAAGGAAATAAAACAAAAGAAAAATGGAAATTTAGAAACAGTGGAAAAAGAAGAATTGGAAAGTAGATAATATTAAAATAGAATTGAAATAAGAAAAGAATAATAGAGCCAGTGTGAAGTAAGCTAATTGGAAAGGAGGAAAGAGATGTTTGGGTGTGTTAAAAAAGCAATATGCCTGAGTTCTCTAATGTAGGGTGAATAAGTTTTCTTTAGCTTTCTGTATTTCCTCGGGTTCTTTATAAAGATGTTTTTATAAATTTATAAAGATGTTCTTTATAAATCTGTTCTCCTATGATATCCAATACTAATAATGAACCAAATTGCTCTGGCTCAAAATCAAATCATCAATATTATACTAAAAGACAACATTCACACCTAATTACAGTTTATTCTTGACTGATGTTTATCATCTATCTATATCTACATACACTATCAGGTCAATTGAAAGGAAAAATCAAAATTGGCATCTAGGCCCAAACTGAGGAAGCTAGTAGAATTCCAGCAATGGTATCTGCATCTACCACGATCTTACAGTCAGTAAAGATTGCTTAAAGTTACCCTACATAAAAAAAAATAAAGATACAATTATAAGAAGAGTTAAAACATCAAAGAAAATAGGGTTGGAATAAAAAGGGTACATGAATATAATTAAATATATCTTCTCCTTCTTTTTGTATCACGCTTATAGAAAAATCTTTCATTCCTTTAGTTCATCCTAGATTTGCTAGACATCAGTATATATTTGTTGTTTAAGAGTCAAATTGTAGGAACCACATAGCAAAAGTGACACCTAATAAAATTTCTAATGAATTTCTCCATAAATGTGTTTATGAACTAGTGATAGCTGCAAATGAATATACACCCAAACCACATTATAAACTGAGACAGGATAACAGATTTCTAAATGAAGGAAATTACTTATTTAGTGAAGTAATTGTTTACTCTGAATTTTATTCTTTCTATTTATTTATCAGTTCCTAATTTTGTATAGGAAGAACTGGATAATTAAAAAAGATTATCTAGTAGTTGTTTCTTCTGTTGCAAACCCTTATTGATATTCTCAAATTTGTGTGTAATCCATTATCATTGATCCCTACGAATTAACCTTCAGAAGAAAATCCGGTCAAACTGATGCAATTTTAAAATCAAAATGAGCAAAAATATCCCCCCAACTTCCTCTCATTTTTTTTTTGGCACTGACTTTTACTAATATATTATCAAAATATCTCTCATCGATTCTGAAAAGAATGATCTGTATAACACAAAATGACTCTTACTGGAGACTTTCTCTTTTAAATGAACTTATTTTTGTTTCTAAGATCCAATAAAGTCATTAGACGTATATGAAAACTTGAAGAATAAAAAAAGCTTTTGTTTTGATCATAATAATTTTTCCCTAGGGGTGTGGAAGTGGGGAATTTAAAGATATGGAAGTCTATGAGAGAACAAACTCTTGGTGATTTGAGAGATTAGAAAAGTTCTGCACATATACATTGACTATTAAATGTACTGAAGATATCCTTGCAGTGCTTTTCAAACTCAGTATATATCAGATCTTCCTCAAAACAGATTCTTGGTCCCCATTCCCATGGCGTCTGATTGACTCAGTGGGCCTGGGGTTGAGTTTGAAATTTGCACTTCATCAAGTTTCCAGACTGCTGGTAGGCAACGACACTTTGAAAATTATTGGTTTGGGAGAGTAAAACCTAAGTCTCTCTTTAGCTAGAATAAGCTTTTGGGATCACATAAGCAAATGTGTTTATGTTATAGATGAGAAAACCAATACTTTGGGAGGTTAAATGGCAGAGCTAATGTTGACGTCTAGAGCACAACAGATGGAGAGTTAGTACCACAGGGAAAATTAGAACCCACATTTTGCTGAATTATTTTCATTTATGTGGGGAGCATCTCCTTTCTATATATCAACTGCTATAGGCAAAATAGGTATATACTATAGATACATATTGGTAAAAATATAATAAGTGTGGTCTGAAATTTGAAATACAAATATTCATTGTAGTATCCTAAGTAAATAGAGCTGTATCTTATAAAGAATAGCTACTCAATAAACATTTGGTAAAAAATGAGTGAATGAAATGTTTTCTCTCTGTGTTTTGAAATAAATTCAACTCAACAAATATTTGCAGATGGATACTCGGGGCAAGAATTTATGCTAGGGAGTAGATATGCCACTAGGTCTAGCAAGACATTGTCCCAGCAAGAACAAAAAGATAATTCCAAATATTTTTAGTATAAAGTGATTACCTCAGAGTATCTCTTCCTACCCTCTTTCCCAACTGTAGTCAGTTCATTTTACCGAATCTCTGCTACATAAGGCTGAATGTTTTTCTCTCCCCAAACTTATTAAGTTGAATCTTAGCCACAACAGTGATGGCATTAGGAGGTGGGGCTTTTGGAAAGTGATTAGGTCCTGAGCTAGGAGACTTCACAAATGGATTACTGCTGTTATAGAAGAGACCCTGGAGAACTCGCTCTCCACTTTCATAATTTAAGGTTACAGTGAGAAGACCTCCTTCTGGGAGAAGCCAAATCCACACTAGACACCAGGTCTTCCAGCACCTTGATCTTGGATTTTCAGCCCCCATTACTGTGAGAAACAAGTTTCTGTTGTTATAAGCCTATAGTGTTTTGTTTTAGCCAAATAGACTAAAACAACCTTCACTGTATGTTAGTTGTGAGGCTTTTATCCATGTGACAGAAACCGAACTTTTGCTCCAATCAACAAAAAAATGTAAGGATAGAAATATTTACATGTAGGACTGGAGCCAGAAACCTAGGACTATTAGAGTATTATTTTCTCTATAAATCTCATTCCTCCTTTTGTGGAATAAGCAATTGATTCCCAGTTGAACCTCAATTACTGGTAAGTTGAGGCTTATAACTTCACAATTTTGCAACTAAAAGTGGACTGTGTCTGCAGGGTGTAAAACTGCTGTTAAAGTTGTACCTTTCTTTCAATAGAAAAGCCATACATTGATATACCATCGTTTTCCAGCAGGTGGCAGTGAAATGAATTAGTCTACCCAAATCTGTATATTATGATAATTTTCTGAGGGATGGAAAGAAAAAAAAAATTAAGGAATCAGCATTATTTTCAATATTTCACAGAGAAGGTTACAATATGAATTAGCAGTGGTCCTCTTTGGGCCAGTGATTCCTACTTGGATGAAACTGCCACCCATGTGGACAATTACTCCTCAAAAGAAGATGTATGCCACTGAGAAAATAAAAACATTACATATTCACCATGTAACCTTTAGATGGGAATCTATATATTAATTTTATCTCATACTTTTAGATTGACATTTTAAAATTGTTTTGCTTCCCCAAACTGACTTCAATCATGTCCATTTGGCAATGAAAAGTCTTCCTTAATTATTCATGCATCCAGGTAATTTTAGCAGATACTTGGAGGTTCCTATCCTTATTAAATTCCAGGTTTTTTTGTCTAATGTAAATGAGTAAGAGTAGAGACCAGGATAAAGTGAGAGAGGACAGAATTTGGAACAGGCTGCACCACTTTGTCTGCTTGAGGAACACCCTAGCTATGTACTATTGGGTGTTAGGTGGCCACCTGTTATCCACTGTATGTAACCAAATACAGTACACAGTTTTAGTTCTTCGTCCAGGAATTGGTATAGAATGACTAGCCCAACTCTGCAGTCAAGGGAGTACTCAAGAGAGCATTCTAGATGATGCTAAAGTATGAATCCTGAGATATCCTATTCAGTATGATTGTGGTCCATAATGATGCTAATACTGTAATTTATTGACATACTACTTGAACTTACCCTTATTATCAAAAGACCATTAGATGTGGTGTAGGCCTTGTTATAGATGGAATGTTTGTGTCGCGTGTACTCAAATTCACATGTTTTAGTCCTAACCTGCAATGTCATATGATTTGTAGACTAGGCCTTTAAGAAATAATAAGACTTAGATGAATTTTTTAGGTTATTCTTACATGATGGGATTATTATCTTTATAAGAAGAGGAAGACTCTCCCTCCCTCCCCCTCCCTCTTTTTTTCTCTCTCTCTTTCCCTTTCTTCATGTATATGTACTAAGAAACAGTCATGTGAAGATCAGTGAGAAAAAGGCAACTATCTGCAAGCCAGAAAAGGAACCTTCACCATAAACCAAATTGGTCAGCGCCTTGATCTTGAATGTTTCAGACTCCAGAATTCTGAGAAAATGAATCTTTGTTATTTAAGCCACCTAATCTATAGTATTGTTTTATGATAGACCCAGTTGCCCCAAACAGGTGTTGTCCATCCTAGAGGAATTC